ATTTTATATGAATCAGGCTAAAATTATTTTCTTACTAAGAGGGGCTGCATATTACTTCCATATGCTTATGTGGAAGGAGGTCAGTACAATAAACAATGGTAAAATCTTCTATAATTTCCTTGGAGCAAGGAAAGTATATATTATATGGAGTATTGAGAAATTGACTTTCTCAAGTTACTGATGCCATTTTCTGGAATCTGAGGTGCCTCTCAGAGGGAGGACACTGCAACATACTTCAGATAACATTCATATTCATTTTTAGTGCATGCCAAGAGATAATTTTGTTTTGTAATAATTTAAACAATTTAAATTTAAGAATTTCAGCACCCTGTTTTTGAATAAAAGATTATTATATGGATTATTTGAATTTAAAAAGAATTTTGGAGAAAAACAAAGATACACATGTGATGGAATGAAAATGTAAAGCATTTAGTACAAGATGAGTGGAAAAATTCACTAGCTCCAGAAGGCACTGCTTTACAAGTCAAAAATCAAGTAACGAGAGGAGTTTTGCATTTATTCCAGTTTTAATTAGGTATATATCAGCTCCTGCATAGAGAGAGGGAACAGGAGCACCTTAAAGTAAACCTAAGTTAGTTCCAAGGAGTTTTTTTTTAAAGAGTTCCATGTCATTAAATTGATAGTGAATAAGGTGGCATAAATTAGTCTTCTATGACAAATTAACTAAAATGTTAGCCAGTGCTTATTTATCTATAATTTTATATAATGTCCGTTTTGATAGGACACTGTTTAAAAAAGAAAAGAAGCACAATGAAACCAGGAGTAGTCAGAATAAAAGGCTGTTTGCTAGATAGCTATATTAAACATATAGAATTTTGGAAATGTTCAGGCAAGCATGCCTGAAGATGAGAATAGGCACAGAGAAGATATGGCGTTGTCTCCATCATTCTATTTAATAGAGGAACATCAAGGCAGGAAAGTTGTAACTGGATAAGGATGAGAAAGAAATTACTATAGACAATTATAATATCTGAATTATTTTTAATAATTCAGGTTCTATTATGCATATATAATTAGTTGTTTAGTTATGCCATTTATTTTCATTCACATTGGAAAACCACTAAAAGATGGTGGGAAATAAATATAATGATAAATATCATTATTGATTATCACAAGAATTAGTATTGACTGTGTTCATTCAGTATTGGTGGGCTGTGAAATTTTAATTTTCTACTTCTCATTGACATAGAACATAATATTTCTGCGTGGATAAATAGAAACCTGGTGCAACTAGTCATTTGGTGATTGCCTAGCACTTTTGTCTTCAGAAAATGACGTGAACCCATGAATTAAAACAAGTTAATTTACACAGATAAAAATATAAAACAATGTGTTGATTGGCACTAAACCTACATTGAGTCATAATTCAATAGGTTCACCTATAACCCTTGAAATAGGATGTAATAAGTATAATAACAGCAGTATTTTGTAGCCTATCTCCACTAGTAGTGTCAATTAGGATATAAAGCAATCAACCACCATAGTAACTTATAAATTCAATTATATACATGGTTTACCAATTATCAGGACACATGTTGATAGGATTTTCAGGGCTGGATTGAGATTATCTGAAATTACTATTTATAATATTTGAAAAAGCTAATTGCAGAAAATAATTTAGAAGAGTATTTTAGAAGGCAAGGATATTTTTAGAAGATCCTGGGAAATAACATTGCAGCCTTCTAAAAAAACTGGAAATTTTGCATACAATATTCAGATACATACATACAACATGTGTGTGTGTATAATACACACATTCATTGGGTCTGATAACTATAATAACTATAAAATATGTGTAAATATGCTCATCAATAGTCATAATGGAACAAGATTGTTACACATAAGCAACACAGTTCCAAATTTTGGAATCAGTGAAAATAATGGACTATGAACTATTTGCTGTTTGGCTATGTATGTTTTGGCTAAGCATCTATAATCTGTTCACCAAAAAGAAAAAAAGAATATTAATTGCAGAAACAAATATGTAAAAACCCATTTTCATTCCAGAAACATTTTTCTGTAACAGAGTTAAGCGTTTAGTGCCATTGAAGTCTTTCAAGTGCAACTCTCATCCATTCTAGTTTAGCACAGCTAATGCCAAAAGACCATAGCAGTTGTTGTTTACTATTCATGGGACAAATCCTAATGTGAGGATTCAGTCCCAGGACATCTGATATCAAGGACAATGAGAAAGGTTATCATTTCAGCATTTCCTCTAAGCACCAATATGCTTATATGGAATTAGATAAACGTTTTTATTATTAAGACTTATTTGTGGAACTAAATATTTCAGACAAATATGGTAGAAAATGGTACTGCTAGAGCTAGGAAGATATTTCAGGGTTTTCATGCCTGCAGATAAATTCAATTATTTAAAACTTTATTAATGAGGACAAATTCACATATCTTCAGATTCAAGGTGACTTGAACCGAGACAAGAGACTGATTTTAATTAATTAGTTGAATGATTAATTTAGCATACTGGAGAGACCAATGTATTATTTAAAAGTACATAATATTGTTTTTTGTTTTTATAAATCACATACATTAAAAACCTAATATACTTTGTTTTAGCACATGAATAATGAAAAAGAAAAGAATTAAATACCTTTCATGATGCTCTTAATAATTTCTTAAGTCTTGAACTTTCACTAACACAAAAAGAATAGATTCATTCCTATGACAGCTTATTGTAAAAGTATAAGAGATTAATGATTTATGATGATACTGTGCTAAGTGCAAAGAAGTCTGAAATTTTTAACTGTGAGTGGCATATTTTAAATGAATAGTAAAAATTATTTCACTTTAGAAACAGTGATGCATAAAACCAGTTTTATATCTTGGTGAACAATGGTAATATCGTCATATAATGCACCTGGGGAAAATGCTAATGAATCATATTCCAAGCAATTAGGATTACATTTTAATCTTTTTTTTAAATAAAGAAATGCTTTAGTTATTCTGTCATTGTTTTAAATTACAGACTAATGAAAAGAAATCATTTGCAAAAGTCTGCAACAAATCTCATGAAAATTAGTGTGTGCTGTGTAGCACATTCATGTGGTCAGCTTCAGTATTCAGAAACACCTAACTGTAAACACAGTGGTCTTACAGATATTTCTGTTCCAAAATGTACTTTGATGGTGAGAATGTTTAATATGCTAAATTCTGAGGTTTTTCTTCAACAGAAACTATTCTATATACAGACAGTCTTCTTCCAGTACTGTGGTTTGCAAGTTTCATTGAAAATAGTTTCAAATGCAGTAACAGTGTACGGGATTTATATATCCAGCCCAATCCATATTTTAGGCTCTAGACCTTTTCCTTTTTTTAAAAAAAAAAGAGCAAATCGCACACAAACTCATATCCCTTGGAAAATATATTTTCATGTTTTACAAAGCAAAATCCAGCTTGAAATAACGTTAGTTTCAAAATGGCTATAAACATGCCTATTAGTATTATATGGCTAAATTTTATCAATTTCTTTGACAAAGTTCAATTTGGTTTCATGAGCTCAAGTGTTTTTGGAGTGTAAAATCAAGATCAACAAATACAGAATAGTGGTAATCCTAGTGGATAGGGTACCATAATTTTCTTCTCAATTTTTGGACAAGTTAAATGCCTGTTTATTCAATGCTCTGTGCACTTGTATAGCAATCTCTATCAATGCTCTTCATGGAATATGAGGTTATCCTATTATCATCCTAATAGGATGCTAAACTCTTTTTCAAGGAATCCTACTGAAATAGTTTGAATTCCACAGAGTTATGCCGATTTACTTCGCTAGTATTATTCAGATATGTACTCACAACTTTATATACAGTGTTTGTTGGCTTGTCGATCAATACTAATGTGATGCAGTTCAGCAAATTTGATAGTTAAATTGAATATTATGATTGCAAATTATATTAAATACTACTTTAATGAAGACTACAGAAAGTTGTGTGTATATACTCATGTGAATACAATGTAACATAATGTAATAATTTGAAAATTATTTTAGACTTCTGCATCTATATAATAAAAAATCAATATTTTTTTCAAGGCAGAAAATCAATAGATGCAAATGTAGTTTGTTTATATTATAGAATATCAATTTGCAAAGAACAGGGAACTAGATACATTTTTGAGTTGGGATAGCTGGTAACATGAAATGGATTTAATATCACGTTTTTCATGGTATAGTTAAATGATATTTTATAGCAGTTTGCAGTTGCATTAGCATGCATTAGATATATAAGATTATTAAACACATCTTTATGAATAATACATATTGAAGTGTTGTATGCTTTATAGAAACCCATGCAGATATTCTTACTGATAGCATTAATGAACTGATAGAAACTAGAACTAATTAAGTTTCCTAAGAGCATGAAACAAGCTCTTTAGCCATAGCATTATAGGATTGATTTGATTACATCAGAAAACTGTTAGATTGGTTTCTTATAATCAGTGCCTGATGAAGAAAACGTTAATATTTTTTATTTAGAAAGCAGTCCTTTTTAAACAATCGGTTATTTGACACAAGGAAGGCCTGTTTTGTTACAGGTCTCCTAATATGCAGTTGGTTAGAACTGGCTAACATATACATGAAATCCTCCAAAGAGATCAATGAATTATAAATTTAAATGTTGGTAGATTTGCAAGCAAGAAACTATATTATAGTAAATGAAAATAAAAAGTATAGGAAACTGACAATGTATGTAATAGTTGATATAAGAAGAACATTAAAGGTGACATTATGTATTACATATTTTGAATTGCATTATTATATAGAATGTTCTGGTTTAAATCTGTAAAGATGAGCCCAGATTAATGAATGTCATACAAGCCTTCCTTCAATTAGTTGTTTATTATATAGGGTATATTTGCACTCTGCATTGATATTATGCACTCCACTTCTGAACTTGTTAGAATCTAGGTATAAAAGCAATTGAGAAAGGATCAAACCTGATTTCTGCCTTTATTGTTTGTTTTAGGTGACTTTTACGAAGAGGAAATTTGGGTTAATGAAGAAGGCTTATGAGTTGAGTGTTCTATGCGACTGTGAAATTGCTCTCATAATATTCAACAGCACCAATAAACTTTTCCAGTATGCCAGCACTGATATGGACAAGGTGTTGCTGAAGTATACAGAATACAATGAGCCGCATGAGAGTCGAACGAATTCAGATATTGTCGAGGTAAGTATTATACTGAATAAGGATGGTTTCTTTCCCTATAATGTACTGTACTAATTTGAAACTGATTTCATTTTCTATGTGACAGTTACCTGAGCTAGTTCAGTCCATAACACTCTCCTTTAGTGCATTCTTTTTGTTAGTTCATTTGGCTTCAATTTTATATTTGTAAAAGAATAAACCTTTCTTAAAATTCACATAGTTTCATCTTATCAAATACAATCTCACAAATTTTTTAAACCATGGATTCATATTTAAAAATATTCCCTCCAATATATTTTGTAATGCTCTAGCAAGTGAAATATAATTTATGAGTCTAACCATACAAATAAAGAAAGCTTTTGGTAAATTTACCTTATACATGTTCCTTAATATATATTGATCGCTATATTATTTTGTTGTTTTGAAGAGAATAATAGCATTGATTTTCAAATGTGTTCTAATTTTTTGCTTGCTGTCATCAATTTACTTTGGAATCTTATGACTATCTTAAACAAAGATGTAAACAGAGTTGCTCCGTCTCAAGAACCTTAAGGTTTTTTAAACAAATGCATACTTTATTGTAACAATCTTAAATAATTTGCTGCTGATTTCAGTGGAGCCAGAGTTTAAGTGCATGTCTGGTGGCTAGTTGTATTTCTGATTCTGCACTTCAATGCAAATACAGAAGTACACAATATAATCTTGCAAAAAAAAGTGAAGACCTTCCAAACTTCCAAAAATCCCAATGCAAATACAAATATTCTAGTCTTCTACTTAATTTAGAAACAATGTTTTAAGCAATAAAAATTTTGTTGATTACTAAAGTTGAATAAATTTATACTTTCAGTCAACTTCTGGAAGAAAAAAATGTAAATAAATTACTGTTATAGGGCTTCTTGTGGATTCTTAAGAACTATTATTAACATTTACAGCAGACCATTAAACTACTCTTTCTTTTCTTCCATTCTTGACTAACAACAAATAAGGAAAGATTTTATTCAATGAAATTCCAGCATATTAATAAAACAAGATGATCTTTCTTGATGAGAGAAACCACTCTGACCTAACAGAAACCCTATCTTCCCCAACTTGCATTCTCTTGTGGCTTGATATTCTCTATTATGAATTATTTTACTTCAGGGATTTGCCATCTCCATCCTTTGTTTCCACTTTATGACCAATTGAAGAAATCTCTCTCAGAAGAAGTGTTTATGACAATAGAAAGAAACGTTACTATCATGTGAATTACTTAGTTGATTAGAAATATTGAAGTTAGTTACGCTGAATGATTTCAAAATAAAAGTGTAGGTACAGGAACAAAACCTGCCACCATGCAGGATAATTGGCATGCAGGATAATTGGAGAATGATTAATATGTTCTACTATTCATTGTAACAGGATATTTCATAGAACACTTTTTACAAATGCCTTATTTTAATAAACAATATCCGCCATCCCCAAAATTTAAAAAAAGATTATCAGATGAAAATTTTGCTTCTAAAATCCCTATATTTTTTAATCTAGATTAGTTTCCATAGATTTCTTTGAATACTAATAATCTTGTCTGTTCCAAAAATCATTGATACAGGACTTCATTTTTCATTTTCTCTTCTTAATTCCTAATAGCATCAGATACCTGTCATTAGCAGCAGGCTGTGTGAATGTTAATCCTGTAGGCAAGTTATATTTTCAGCTATGGGATGTTCCCTCACAATTATTGAATATTGAATGTAGCCTTGGGGATAACTTTAACTTTTATCTATGTCCTTTATAGTACAGTACTATTTTGCTTTTATCTGAAACTGATGGATTTTTTGGTTTCTAAGTGAAAGAAATGGTTAAATGTGAGAAGTAAAGATATTGGTAAACGGCCATGGACAAACAGAAGTACTTCCTGAGAAAAGATGTATGTCATCTGTGCTTGGTGACAAATGTACAATACACAATTATGTGTTTCTGTAGCAGTGGCTGTTTATTAATTTATGTCAGCAAAAGTTTTGGACTCTTTATAACCAAAAAAGCAGTAGTTATAGGAACACAGTGAAAATCATTTTAGAATATTTAAACAGTTAAACAGTAATCACACAAAAGAGATACAAAAGGCTTGCTGCATTGTTCTTTACCATATGGCTTGGTAGCTGCTAAAATAGCTTACTAACTTGAAAGGATGTGATTTTCTATATTCAGAACGAAGTATGGAGTGCAGAGGTCATTCCGGATTCAGCAGTGTTTCAGGGTCAAAGGAAATAATTCTGCAGTATGTGGGGGATGTTTAGGGAAAAAAAGAATCTTTACATTAGCCAAAAAAATCTTCAGCATAATTATATTGTTTTACTTGATAATTAGCATCACTGTTGCCAGTACAATGAAGCAAGAAAACAAAAGCTGAAGTGGCAGGCAGCTTTGTACACAGAAAGTATCTCAGTACATGTCTTGGTGTAGAACAAAGAATTGTCATCTTTTCAATATTTAAATACATCAGTAAAAGATGTATTTAAAGCAAAACTCTGCACTGCCAATCCTATGCAAACCTGGGTTGCAATTCTGTGCATAATACATTAAGAACTATACCATTATATCATTTAACCCTCCAAGACCAAAAATAAAACCCAGATTTTTGAGGCTAGTCAGGTGCTAAATTTCCCTTTCTGTTTCTCTACCCAGCTTGAAGGTTGACATTGTCCAAATAAGATTGGAGTTATAGGCAAAAGGAAGATGAGATGTTTCTCTACCATATCTACACCCTGGGGAAAAACTGCTGTATGTGTAGCCTGGCTTAAGGCTGCTCTCTCCCATTGAGGATGAGATTATTCTAAGGAAAAGGGACCAATAGGAATTACATTGAAGATTATTTCTTCATTGCTGCCAGTTGACATTGCAAGTTCAGGCTTGTCAGGATACTGCAATTGCACTTTAAAGTTGTTCCATCAATTATACTTAAGAATGAGTCCTTTAAGCCAACTTGTATCAAATAAGGGGACTATTCTTCACATCAAGAATGTGATATTTTTGTTGCGTAGGGTGGATTTTTTTTATTTTTAGTTCTTTTTAAAGACAGCAGAAAATGGATCACTTTCATCTTCTGATTATTCAACTGACCTTCTACATTCTTACAGATAAATATTTTATATCCATAAGTTTAAGTTATATGGGATTCAAGTAGCCAATGCAGACATGCTGATGATATGAATGCCATCTCTTTCTAAAATTTTAATTTGATAATTTAGTATTTTATAGAATGGCCTTGTGGGATGCCTTTCTATATGCAGTTCTCATAAATGTGGTTTGCTGTGTATTTTTACACAGCAAACCACATTTATGAGAACTGCATGTAGAAATTATGCAGAAACAACAATAAATGTATTTTTAATTGTTTGCTTCCAAGAGCAATTGTTCCTAACAAATAAGTCTATTAACCATAGTTTTTATTAAAACAATTTTGTTGCTGTTATTATAATGGCACAGAAGAATGACCCAGCTTTTGAATTATCTTGAACTCTTTATCAGTACTCCACAAAAGGCAAGGAATAAGAAAGATTGCAGGAAAATTCAGAATTTAGTCTCTAGATGTTTCAGGTACAGGGTCTTACTGTGAAAAGATTTATTTATTTACTTAGCATATTTATTTGGCCATCCACCTATAAAGAACTCCAAACAACTTATCTCTGTTGCTAAAAAAAATTCTCCTTCCTTTAAAAATAAAAATACATTAGCCCACAATCCATTTTCTGACCAATAAGTCAGAGAAAGAGTGGAATTTTAGATAATAATCTTGTTTGTTTCTTTTCAAAATGCAACTTGTAAAATCCATGGATGAAAGAAAAGACTCAGTAAAATAACTAAGGAACTTCACTCAGAAGTGCTCAGAAAACACAACTGGACTTTCTTGGGTTTTTTCTTTGATTTCATCTCATCCAAAGGTTTTGGGACAACGATGATCTAAATGATTGAGAATCTCCATAGACATAAGGAACTTAACAGAATTTACAAAACTTTATTTTTATTAGCACATTTTGTTTTGAAAGTGCAATTTAGCAGAACAACCCTAAAGAAAGTAAACTGAATTTCACTAAGACCTATTAGACCAATCAATCTTAGAAGGTAAACTGTTAATATAGTAATTAGATTCAGTTGTTTGCATTCACCTGTTTGTTGTTTTCTAATAGAAAATGAAATGGGGTTTTTTTTGGGTGGGGGGGAGATATCACAGTCTTGCTATTCCCTGGATTTTTCTTTTAATATTATGTTTTCTTACCTCAGGATACCTTGCTTATGTAGCTGAATTATTTCAGTCCTGCATAGCAGATTTAGGTCAGGGCATGATAAAACTAAAACTATTATTACAATTGAACCTTTATCCTTTTAAACAATTTAAGAACAACAGTTCTTTCCAAAATTGCTAACATAAAATCATAACCCTTACATGAATCAAAGTGCAATCTGCATATTTTATCAAAACATTGTTAAACAAAAATGTAAAATAATTGGCCACTTTTTAAAATGTTACATGTGAACCGAATTTATTGTGGGATTCATTGAACACTTAGCATCTGGGGAGAAGGTATCGGACAATTTTAATCAAAATAATGTTATAAGGTTGTATTCTACTATCATTTGGGCTCCCATGTTCTTATTGTCTATGGTTTTAATACACGTTAAAGTGTTGCTTAGTTCCAACATCTGAACATCTAGTTGGTGTTTTTGTTTAATTTAATTTTAATTTAATTTTTTGCCCATTCTCTTTCATTGTTACATAGAATATCATAAATCTTTTAAAGTTCTACAGACAGTCTCTCTAATTTTGCTTTTACACTAACTCTGTTTCTTTCGATTTATGTTTCTACCTGTCTCTCAGACAATCATTCACCTTCTCTGTTAAATCTGGTACATCAATATTTTACTTCTCTGCTTTTCTTAGATGTTACATCCTTCTTTGTTCTCACTACCTGTTACTTTTTACCATGATTGCTGTTTTATAGTTAGGTTAACCTACTTTACTCAGATTTTCCCTTCTTTCTAAA